CTCGGATTCTCCAGCATCTGCAGTTCCTACTATCTCTGACTTGACATAAAATGGTTGTCTGTGGCTTTTTAGCTGACGTAAGATGGCCAGAAAGGGAATTAGCAGCTACATAAAGCAGACTTTCACTGACAGACTTGTCTCTAAACGATAAAATAATGAAAGGTCCTGGGAGACTCATTGAAGGATTGGTGAGAAGAAATATTGGGGAATTTAATCAGATCTCTGTAGACAGCAGCTCTAAAAACATAACTATTTCAGTAAAGAATGTCCTTGAAAGGATAAGAGATACCTGAGCACTAATCATGGTACCAAGTTTGTTATTTAGTAAAATGTAGAAAGAAAAGTCTGATCCCACAGTGTTCCAAACTTTTTAGGTAATTGTAAATTAGAAACGCAAACAGCAAACTAACATGAACCGGGTTAGCTTGATTCCTTTGAGGAAGTAGGGAGTAAAAAAAATCCCTGTTGTATCAACTGGGACAGAAACAACAAATGGTATAAACAGATATCCTCTAAAACAGCACCATAGCATGGTAGGGGGTAGAGAAAGGTTGTTAAGCACAACCATTGTGACTGTGGAGAAATAAACAATTGCAGCTTAAGTATAGGTACTAAAGATCAGAGGTTAGGTCCTATTGCGCCTTAAGGAAACCAAGCAAAGTTTCTTTCAATGACTTGGTAAAGCTGTAAATTGATTGAATTTCACCCTCATCAGTGGAATTCAAATAGATGTTGTCTTATTAAGTTAAGAAAATTAGGATGAAAAGTATTTAGCGTAGAAACAGTAAGGTTTATCCAAGAATTAAGCCTCGGTTTAAAACCCACTTGCAACATGTGAGTGGTAGAATTTGAATTTAATGAAAGTCTGGAATTAAGGATCTAATGATGAGTAAAGAACCATTGTTATTTGCCAAGAGAAGCCCATCTGGTTCACTAATGTCCTTTAGAGAAAGAAACTAGTTGAGATTTTCCAACACTTCATCATTAGACCCTTGATTCCAGACTTTTATTGAATACAAATTCCTGGAAGGAATCTGCCATGTTTACCTGGTCTTGCCTAAACGTGACTTCAGACACACAGCAATGTCTTAACTGCCCTCTGGGTAATTGGGGATGGGCAATTAATGCTATTCTAGCCAATGACACTCACCTCTTGTGAATGACTAAAAAAAGTTACAGAGCACCTATACCATGATGATGTCAGATCACATGGGACTGAAACCTGATGGACAAAGGCATTAGGGAAGCCGAGCTGAACCGTACTCCTGTACGTAGTTTATAGGCAATAAATGTTAATAGTTCGCACTAGCTTTGTGTCCAGCCCCTGCATGTTTTGAGCTTCTCGAAGCTCTGGATATTATTCATAGAATTCCTACAGTGTGGAAAAGGTCATTCAGCCCACCAAGTCTACATTGACCCTATGAAGGTCATCCCACTTAGACCCAGTCCCCTACCCTTTCCCTGTAACCCTGCATTTCCCATGGCTAACACACCTAATATACATATCCCTGAACACTATGGGCAATTTAGCATGGCCAATCCACCTAACCTGCACATCTTTGGACTGTTGGAGGAAACCGGAGCACCCAGAGGAAACCCATGCAGACACAGGGAGAATATGCAAACTCCACACAGACAGTCGCCCAAGGATCGAATTGAACCTGGGTTCCTGGCACTGTGAGGTAGCAGCGCTAGCCACAGTGCTACCCTGCCCTTATGGATATGAGCAAGGGCTTTGTGTAGCATTCACAATAGAGCTCAGGAGTTGGTGTCAGTGCTGGGAATCCTGAACTCGTGCACTCGCCTCTGGGAGTGTTGCCATCCATGACTCTCAAGATTCTACACACTGATTATAAGTTCATAAGATATAGGGGCACAATTAGGCCATTCAGCCCATCAAAGTCTGCTCTGCCATTTGATCATGGCTGATATGCTCCTCAACCCCATTTTCCTGCCTTCTCCCCATAACCCTTTATCCCATTGCCACTTAAAAATCTGTCTAACTCCTCCTTAAATTTACTCCCTGTCCCAGCATCCACTGCACTTTGGTGCAGCAAGTTCCACAGATTCACCAACCTTTGGGAAAAGTAGTTTCTCTTCAACTCCGTTTTAAATTTGCTACCCCTTATCCTAAGGCTATGACCCTTCATCCTAGAGTGTCCCACGAGAGGAAGCATCCACTCCACGTCTATTTTATCCATACATTTTACCATCTTGAATACTTCAATTTGATGTCCCCTCATTCTTCTAAATTCCAGACAGTATAGACCTAAACTGTTCAACCTCTCTTCACACGACAAACCCCTCATCCCTGGGATCAATCTAGTGAACCTCTTCTCAACTACCTGTAATGCCACTACATCTTTCCTCAAATAAGGGGACCAAAACTGTACACAATACTCCAGGTGCGGTCTCACCAATGCCTTGTATAATTGCAACAATACTTCCTTACCTTTTATATCCTATTCCTTTAGCTATAAAAGCCAACATTCCATTCGCTTTCTTTATTATCTGCTGTACTTGCATGCTAGATTTCTGTGACTCATGAATGAGGACACCCAGATCCCTCTGCATCGGAGGACACTGAAATCTCTCCCATTCAGATAATAGGTTGCCTTCCCATTCTTCCGACCAAAATGCATGAGCTCACACTTATCCACATTGAACTCCATCTGCCACATTTTTGCCCACTCTCCCAACCAATCTATATCCATTTGTAAGGTTCTTATTTCCTTGTTGCAGTTTACCATCCCGGAAATTCAAAAACAAACTTCAGAGGAAACCCCAAACCTACTGTTCTACACAATGTGGGAGCAGCCAAACCCTAGAAGCTTTTACAAAAAGAAACTCACATTCGTTTTACAGATTCTATCAAATCTGTGCCTGCAGAATGGTCCCCTGACAACAGCAGACAAGCGGTTCTGATGGTTAGCTATTGGCTTAAATTGCAGTTAACAGTATTTTGAAACCAAAACTCCCCACTTTTCTATTTACTTTGTTACTGCAGATTTGTTTCAGCAAAAATGTATTTCAATTTTGATGGTCCATTCAACCTCAACCTGCAGTGGTTCGGCACACTTAGAATCAGGGCTCCCCCCGGCTTTCCTTTGTGAGGGAATGGGACTGACAGGATTGGTCTACGGAGAGGCAGAATGGACTTGATGGGCAGAATAACCTCCTTCTGTGCCATATGAACTCTGAGTTTGCTGTAGAGTCATGAGATTCATCTAAATCATGATGATGTAACAGTCTCTGACATCAATAAGAGCGAAACTCAGTCTGGAATGAACATGGGAAGGAAGAAGTCTTCTATGTTTTATTGAGATCACTATCACTCTTCTCATTTCCACCGAGTAAATTCTCAACCTAACATCACGGGAGAACCTGTCATGCCAGGAACCAATTGAGTAAACCTTACCTGTGCTGACTTGAAGGCAAGTCTAGGTGGAATCTTTTGCTCTCCCTGTGGAAGGTTTGGGGGCGTGAGTTGGGCAGTGCCAGTTAATCAGAGGGATGGAGGCTGGGAACGCCTTCACATTCCTGCATCCACCTTGATTTAACTCCATGGTAGGAAAGCCTGTGGACTGCCTTTCTGCCATGCCACCATTTGAAGGCTTTATGTGACAAAGTAATCTCCACTGCAGTTCTTTTGCAAAAAAAAAATGTCACAGAGAGGGACAAAAACTTGACAAAGATCGTGACTAGTAGAGTTGGTGGAAATGAATATTTCAATTTAACCTTAGTGTGGAGTGAGGGCCTATTCTTGAAACTTTTAAATATAGCACGGACTATCAGACAGTGCTGCGATAAGAATGATCCTCTGGGTGGCAGACACGTTAGGTTAAGCAAGAAAATTAAATCAAAGGTCAACCTGGTTCAGGGTGTTTAATGCAGCCAAAAGTCAAAACTAATGCTACCATCACTACAGTCATGGAGTTATAGAGTCACACAGAGATACAGCATGGAAACAGATCCTTCGGTCCAACTCATCCATGCCGACCTGATATCCTAAATTAATCTAGTCCCTCTTACTAGTATTTGGCCCATATCCCTCTAAATCCATCCTATTCATGAACCCGTCCAGATGCCTTTTAAATGTTGTAATTGTGCCAGACTCCATCACTTCCTCTGGCAGCTCATCCACACACACACTACCTCTGAGTGGAAAAGTTGCTCCTTAGGATCCTTTTAAACCTTTCCCCTCTCATCTTAAACCCGTGCCCTCTAGTTTTGGACTTCCCTACCCTGGGAAAAAGACCTTGGCTATTCAACCTATCCATGCCCCTCGTGATTTTATAAACCTCGATAAGGTTACGCCTCAACCTCCAACGCTCCGGGGAAAATAGCCCCAGCTGATATGCTTTGATTCATCAGTGGCATAAAAGAAGCTCATCGCCAAGTGTATCAATGTTGATTGGGATTTGATCAGTGCACTGGGGTAGGGCAGTGGGGCAGGAGATAAATGAATGCATGGACAGACAGACAGACAGGCAAGCAGTCAGACAATTGGTCGATTACAAACTCATCATGATGGCCATATTGTTACACAGAGGCCTGTCAAGGCTGGATCATTAAGTATATTCAAGGCTGAGATAGACAGATTTTTAATCAGTAAGGGGTTCGACGGTTATAGGGGAATAGACTGAAAAGTGGAGTTGAGGATTATCAGATCGGCCATGATCTCAAATAATGGCCAAGCAGATTCGATGGGCAGAATGGTTTACTTCTGCTCCCATGTTTTATGTGTTGATGATATAAGAAGGAGGATGGGAAAATGGCAATGGAGGATATTGGGTGGGATGTGTTCGTGACCCTGGAGAGTATTCATGTCAATAGACAAGATTCCCAGCAGTGGGAAAACCACCTGCCAATTTGAGGTGGCCAATGATTTGGCTCATTGACAGGTATTTTATCAGGCTACCAGTATTTTACTGATGTTGGAATGGTCCCCTGCAGCAAGGAGAGTAAGTATCTTTGATTTAATTGTAGGCAGCATCACTAACGGGTTTTCTTTCATCTCTGAGGAATTGTTTAAACATTGAAATTATCCATTTTGTTTTCTTTCCTCAGGATCGGCAGGGATAGTATGGATCAAGATACCAGTAGGCCAGGCTCTTCAGTGAGCATGAGGAGCTTTAGAAGCCGAGAATATGATCAGACTCCTGTTGATCGACCTGCATCTCTATCCAGTTGGAGATCTCATCCAGAAGAGGAAAAATCCCCCCGTTCCTCCGTGGCTTTATCGGAATTTGTGGAGGAGTTAAGGAGAAAACGTGCCGGAGCACGGGAGCAGAGTGGTCTCCAGATGGAAGAGAGTTCCTCTCTGCCTATCTACCAGACTGCAGGTATCTCTTCACTTAGAAAGCGCCCATCCATTAGGGATGATGATGATCCATTGCTGAAGTTTCAGACTATGAGTCTTTCAGAGAATCGAAGATTTCCTGCCAGTTATCAAGAAGGAACTAGGTTAGTCCGTTCAGCCAGCCTTCGGTCTTTGACATCCAGCAGTGAAGTACCCGAATCTTTAGCCACAGCGAAGAGAAACAGATGTGTTTCATTTGAGAATTTAGCCGAGCCTCGCAATGGTACTGGTCCCACCTTTCAAAAGCCAACCTTTACTGCCAGAGACACGGAGGAGGTAACTCCCCCCAGGCTAAAACCACCACGCAAGTGGCTTGAACTGTCAATCGAAGAAGATATTGATGAGGTCCTTAGCAATCAGCCAATTGTGTTCAAAAGTAAACAATTCAGTGGCCTTCCTAATGAGGATGGGGAAGGGGAAAGTTCCAACTGGAAACTTCCAAGCCTGAGCTATGAACGGAAAAGGGATGATGATAATGACAGTGATATTCTTCCTGCAATTCGAAGGCTTCCGTTCAAACACAGGACCACACCGAAGAGTGAGCGGGGCTCTAGATCTCCCACTGCTGACTTTGACAACTTGGCTTCCAAAGATAAGACCAGTTTGATCCCATTAAGGAAGATTATGGCAGTCAAGCCATGCATGTCCAAAGGAGACAAGGATGCACTTGGTAACTTGTCTGACTCCTCTTCATCCTCTGGTTCAACTATTTCGTACAAAAGTGCAGACAGCATCAAGAACCGTCCTGGGCTCCGCAGGTCAACAGATGAGAGATCAACTGCAACAGCACAGGCGAATCGAGACTTCAATTCACAGGCAGAAAAAAGGTCTGAGGAGGAGCCAGCAGCTGAGGACATCAATTCTGTGATGATGAAATACTTGGCAAAGCCAGACAAAGAATAAGGTGAGCATGATGACCATGAAACCATGGTCTATTGTTGAAAACACCCATCTGATTCACTGGTGTCCTTGAGGGAAGGAAACTGCCATTCTTACCTGGTCTGGCCTACATGTGACTCCAGATCCACAGCAATGTGGTTGACTGTAACTTTATTATCTTCACTCGTGGGATATGGACGTTGCTGGTTGTCCAGTATTTATTGCCCATCCCTAGTCACCCTTGAGAGGGTGGTGGTGAGCTGCCTTCTTGAACCGCTGCAGTCCATGTGCGGTAGGTCGACCCACAATGGCCCTAAGGAGGGAATTCCAGGATTTTGACCCAATGACAGTGAAGGAGCTGCAATTCGTTTCCAAGTCAGGATGGTCAGAGACTTTGAGGGGAAATTGCAGGTGGTGGTGTTCTGCCTCCAGGCAACTAAGGATGGGCAATATATACTTGCCTTGCCAGCAACGCCCACATCCTGTGAGTGAATTTTAAAAAGCTGACTTTAAAAAAAAGTGCAAGGATTCTAAAAGAGACCATCTTTATGGTTTAGTCTAAACTTAATTTCAGTGCAGAGGAGACAAATAGAGTGATTTTTTTTTCTGTCGGAACGCGACGTGAATTTGTTGAATTTCTGCTCCAATTCCCAGAAAATGAAAACAATGCACAATGAGAGTTAATGCAAACAGCATTTTTTTTGCATGACATTTAATGTCAGTGCACTGGAATAAGATGCTGCAGAAATGTAGAGGGATTTAGAGTTTAAAATTTCCAAGACATGCAAGGCAATTCCTCATATTAATGAGACAGTTTGGGGGAAAGAAAAGTCTTAGGATTATAGGTCATATGTCATGAGGAAAAGAATATTTTTTAAAAGGTTAGGAGATAATCATGAACCATTAAGTCTTAATAAAACATCAATTGGAGTTCTTTGCTCAGTATTGATACAGGTTGCAGAAATGGTAGAATGCAGGGTAACTAAGATGTGGCTTATATGTAGAATCACAAATACAGAAATAGATGATAGAAAGACTGACTCAAGGCAAAGATTGTGATGTAGTGTTAGTGTCAATGGCTTTGTAATTTAGAACCTCAGGTCAATTGTCTGCAGCAATGGGTTCAAATCCCATGATGGCAGATGCTACTAGTGGTATTATCTCTGGACTGTTAATCCAGAAATCCAGGTAATGTTTTGTGGATCTGGGTTCAAACCCTACCATTGGCAGATGGTGGAATTCTAATTCAAAAAAATCTGCAATTAGGAGTTTAACACTGACCATGAAACCATTGCCAATTGTTGGAGAAACCCATCTGGTTCATTTAAGTCCTTCAGGGAAGGAAACTGCTATCCCTGAGAGATAGCAAGAACTGCAAATGCTGGAGTCAGAGACAGCACAGCGTAGAGCTGGAGGAACACAGCAGGCCAGGCAGCATCAGAGGAGCAGGAAAGTTGATGTTTTGGGTCCGAACCCATCTTCAGAAAATAAAAGAAGGGTCCTAACCTGAAATGTCAACTTTCCTCTCCTCTGATGCTGCCTGGCCTGCGGTGTTCCTCCAGCCCCAAATTGCTATCCTTACCTGGTCTGGCCTCCATGTGAATCTGGACCTACAGCAATGTGGTTGACTCTTAACTGCCCCCTGGGCAGTTAGGGATGGGCAATAAATGCTGGCCCAGCCAGTGACACCCTCATCCCGTGAATGAATTCAAAAGATCTTCTGTGTAAGCAAATGTTTCTTTTGAAACCAAATAAACTTGGACAAACAAATTAGATAAATAATTAAGGAGCTGCCACTTAAAGCATCACTGGAATCAAGAGCCAAATTTTAAAGGAAGCTTAAATTTAAATAAAAGTAATAATTCTGGGGAAGATAATGTTGACCAGCCTCTGTGGCACCCATCAGTTGTGGAAGGCCTTAAGCATGCAGGTTGTGTGGAGCAGGAGTTGTTTAGAACTACTCATATGTGTTTTTGTTGAACTAGAAGCAGTGACCAGAGACTAGCTAGGGATATGTTTCTTAACATTGACTATTTAATTCAAAAACTTGTGTCCAAACTAACTTAGGCATGTGGAATTACAAGCGTGATGGACTAAAAAAAGTTATCCTCAACAGCCTCATTCTGGTTCATTCCTCCACACAATATTTTGGTCAATCAGAGTCAACCTACCTGGTTTAAATTTAAATGAAAAGCTTGGCAGGTAACTGTCATTCATCACCCAACCGGTGCATTCTCCATGTCAATGTCTCTACCAATCAAGACTCTACTTGCTAACCAGTTACTGCTTCCATCTTATACAACATAAAAGATTGTACTTCTTTACATTGGAATTCTTGTGAATGCTCTGATGAGGGAAAGATGAAAAGCTTCAACAAAATGTCTTTATTTTTCTGCAATTCCCAAGTTTGAAAACAAAAGTAGTTGAAATATTTAACAGTGAGTGAAAAGGCATGTACCGGTAATTATAACGCTGGCAGTTGAACCCCCATGGTAAGAAAAGTGCTTGAGGGACATACATGTAATAAATGAAAATCTGAGGAGAACAGGTTTTGTGAGATGTTGTCAACATGGTTTATTCAGTCTGTGGTTATTTTTCTACAAAACAAATCACAGACTGACAAGCATTGATTTATAAACTTCAAAAAGCTGATCTGACATTACACAGGCCAGTTTTGAATCCATTTCTAATGATGATTTTTGATTCAAGAACCACATTTGTAGCCCACAGGTTAAATTGCAGTGGAGTGAAGTTCAGGAGCACAATATTGAGTGCATATCACTGTGTCAAAAAAAGGGAGGTAGATTTATTTGGAAAGATTTATGGAAGAGTGAACAGCATTATTCCAGATCTTTGGGGGAAGTACTCTGGCAACTGATCCTATTTGCACTGAAACGTAATTAATGAATGAAATGATTGATGCTTTAAACACCACGAAAATGTAAATGAGATATCAGATAGAAAGGATTATGCGACTTTTGAGGATTGGGTTGGAGAACATCACTACAATGTTCAGAAGCCCCAGCAAATTTAGATAATTCAAGGAACAGTTTTACTGGAGAGTGAACACATGAGATGCACGCACAGTGAATTTGTTAAATGTGGATTACTCCACATCATTAAAAAAAGGATGGGAGAGGGGGTGGTCAACATCTGTTGAGAAAGGGGTATTCAGGTTGGCGGCAATAATAATTGTACCACTAGGTTACTCTTCATGAAATGTATGGAAAGGCACTCCCTATTCTTTAAACTGTAAATGAATAGGGGAAGGTAGGGTGAGCACAGCTTAATGATATAAGGATGTTGGCTGGAAATGGCTTCATGGAGCAAATGGCCTTTTGTTGTTAGGGATAGTCTGATGTTCCTGTCAGATGGCTAGGTGAGTTAGAATGCTAGTCTTTCAAGGGCAGACATGATGGGCTGACTGGCCTCCTTCTGCACTGTAACAGTTCAGTCAATCATCCCTCGCAATTAGATGACATGTAAGTAAGACCTGCTTTAACTGAGGACTGCTGATGTTCTTAGTTCATTTTTGGAACTGCCGATGAACTCAGAGCCATTGAATAAAGCTGTCCAATGGTCTAGCTTGACATTTTCAGGAGATGTTGCTAAAGTGTAGGGAATGTCTGTAGTAGTGCAGTAGGCAGTTCTGGAGTGTGGGTTAAAAGAATTATATGCGGCCTGTTCCATGTCCGATGAAAATATTCTTGAAATAGTGGTTTGATGAACTCCCATTCCCACTCTCAATCCTCTGTCTCCTACACTTCTCTGGTAAAGCTCAAAGTACAACAAAACTCATTCATGTGGGTCTTTAACATAATAAAATGTCCCAAAGTGTTTCACCAGAGCATTATGAGCCAAAGTACACCACCAAATCAAAGGAAATATAGATCAGATATTTCTTTAATTCATTCTTGGACTGTTGGCATTGCTGGCTCAGCCAGCATTTATTGCCTATCTTTAAATGTCACTGATTGACTTGGGAGTGCCATTCCAGAGGGCAGTTCATTGCCATGGGTCTGGAGTCACATGTAGGCCAGACCAGGTGAAGATGGCAGATTTCCTTCCCTAAAGGGCATTCGTGAACTAGATGGGGTTTTTACAACAATCATTAATTGTTGACATGAGAATGGCTTTTATTTTCGAGTTTTCATTGATCCAAATGCCACCATCTGCTATGGTAGGATTCAAGCCCATGTCCACAGGATATTAGCTTTGGGTTCCCTGGATTACTAGTTCACTATGCCACCTAAAGCTGAGTCAAAGATGTAGGTTTGAAGAACTGTCTTAAAAGAGGAAATCGAGGTAGAGGACCAGAGAGGTGTAGGAAGGGAATCTCAGAGCCTTAACAGCTGAAGGAGATGCCACAGTACCAATTGTGGAGCAGGTATGGCACCTTCTCTAGGCCAATGCTTTGTAATTTTATTCTATCATAGTCATGTCCATTTTGGCTTGCATTCTTAATTGTCCATTTTTGTCATTCAATCAACTCACCTTATCCCAGACTGCCCCTTCAATTTTTGCTCCCTTGTTCTCGATTCTTCCTCCAATGGGAATTTCATTTTCCTGATTGACTCTTGTCCAGACCCCTCCTGGTTTTGTGTATCCCTCTCAAATCTCCCAGCCTCCCTCTAACTCTTCTGGTTCTGATGAAGGATTAAGCCTCCTTCCATCTCCACAGATGATGTCTGATCTGCTGAAACCATACCAGTTAATAGATGGGCCTCTGCAGTGAAATGTTCCCTGTAATCTTTTTTGTTGTTGCGTGGACCTCTGAGGTCAGTGCACTGCAGAAAGTTCCAGAAACCATTCATCGGCACGCCAATTGACATAAGCAGAGCTTCCCAGTGACTCTACAGCTGAGAGGGAGCATTGGTACAGTTTCCCTTGACATTAGCAAATGATACCTAGGGGATTTTCTTTAATATCCATAGTCGATGTTCGTTGGACATGAAATAATGGTCTCAGTGTGGGACATTTTACCAACTATTGCTGTTTGTCATTCCTCCAGAATCTCTGATCTAAGACTTCTGGCTGCACAATTGCCTAGAACACTGAAGCTGGGACAAAGAATCACAACCAGACAGCGCTAATCCGTTCCAAGAGACACCTTGAGCTCAGTCAAGAAGGATGGAAACAAAGCTGATTGTTTGCCCTGGATTTCAGGGTGATTGAAAGCAATGCTTCTCAGTATTTGTGATGAATTAAAAACAGTTATTCTCAGACTCGCTTATTTTACTGTCTTTGGGAAACAAAGGGGAAAATATTTGGGGAGAAAAATAATCAAAGCCAAAACGTATGTTGGACATGACTAAATCTGCGCACAAACATTGTTTCAAATCAGTGCCTTGTTTAATGGTGAGGAAAGAGAAAGTTGGGAATGTGAATTAGTGTTAATTCTACTGTCACTTGATTAGCTTTGAAAGAAGCAGTAAAGGGCAACCTACTGTGACACATCTACATATTTTGTTCTCACAGGATCCACAGAGTCTAACTTAACTCAAATTAGGACTGAATTACCATGTTCAAAGATATCGTAGAGGCAGCTTCATTAAAGTCCCTTCAGGTTAAAATGCAATTGATAGTTAAGTTGGTCATCAGCATTTGGGACTTAAATGTGAATTTTCTGAACCCTCTTCCTGGAGGAAGGCAGTGCTGCAGTTGTAGAGAACACATTCCAAAAAAATTGCCAGGCCAACTTGGAAAAGCTGAGAGGGGCCTGTTTGTGGAACTCACCACCCATTAGAAAAGCTTCCTCCAAGTCTTTGCTTGATGCCCGTTGAAAGGATTTGATAAACCAAGGTTAACATCGATTTCTTTCAATTTATTTCCAGGGTGCAGGCCATGTTGCAAAGGCCAAATGTATCCTTAATTGCCTTGAGAAGGTCACTCATAAGGCAACTTTAAGTTAGTTCACCTGATGGAAAATGGATCAATCACCTCTGTCTTGCCATTGCATTTGGCTGATGATCCAATCCTTCAGATTGTTGGTGATGTTTGCTTTTGTTTATGGGGTGTGGGTATCACTGGCAAGAACTATATTAATTGTCCGTTGCTAATCACCTTTGAAAAAGTAACGGTGAGCCACCTTCCTGATTCACAATTAGCCTAATAATTAATGGGTTCACCCAAAGGTGCTGTTAGGAAGAGAGCTCCAGGTTTTTGAACCAGTGATAGCGAAGGACTGGTGATACAGTTCCAAGTCAAGATGGTGTGTAACCTAGGGGATGGGGACCTTGTAGGTGGTTGTTTATCTATTACTTTCTAGGTAACAATCATTGTGGATTTGGAAGGTGCTGGTGAAGCATCCTTGGAGAGTCACTGCCATGAACTGGTAGATGGTGTAGATTGCTGTCATTGCTGGTTATTGAAGGAATGAACATTGAAGGTGATAGATGGGGTGTCAATCAAATGGACTGTTTTGTACTGAATGCTATCAAGTTGGAACTGCACCTGCCCAGGTAGGCAGAGAGTATTCCATGCTCCTGATGTAGGCTTTGCCTGGATAGGCTTTGGAGACTCAGGAAATAGGTTCCTTATCTCAGAATTACCAGTCTCTGACCTAGTCTTATTATCACTATGGCTAGCCCAGTTACTTTTCTGGTCTATGGCAACTCCCCAGGATATTAATGGTGGCACAGTTCAGCGCTGGCACTTATGTTGAATACTAAATGTAGATAGTCAGCTTCCCTCCTGCTGAAAATGGTTAATGCCTAGCATTTGTGTGGTATGACTGTTACCTACCACTAATGTTGTATACATCTTGTTAATAGTCTACACACTGATACACGTTTGGTTAAAATTATCTGTCACAGAGTTAACCTGTGAAATGAACTGGAGTAACATGGAGATTAAGTGATGGTGATGGGGTTTTTGGTGAATTTATTGGCTATAGTGTACTGGTCCAGCCAAGTTCCCATATCCCAGTCTTGATAGAATTTTAACTTGCAATGTTTGGATTGCTACCCGAATAATGTACCCCAATCAATCTCACTGCATAGAATTTTTACAGTTTATCAAGTAACTAGTGTCTTATTTTTACAGAAAAGTTTGGTTAAATGACACATTTGTCAGCAACTATTATCTAGCTCACTTTGCAGTATGTAATGTAGTGATACACGAGTGAAATCCCTTTGTTTTTAAAGCTCAAACCAAGAGAGAGCTTTCTCAATTGCATAAGTAAATTGCACTGAGGAGGGTGTTAGATGATTATTTAAATAGAAAGAATGTGCGGAGGATGTGGAAAAAGCAGGAAAATGGCACTAAGTCTCAAAATTCATTTGAAGAACTGGTACAGATGCAATGAGCCAAATGATCTCCTGGTGCAGTGCATACTTTAAGTATGCACAATATCAGAAAATAGAGGTCATGGAATATAATGGACACTGGCAGCAGGGATATGAAGTTGGCTGAGTGACAGGAAACAAAGAATAGTGGTGAGCGATTTGCTTGTTTTGACTGGCAGAAAGTAAACAATGTGGTTCCCAGGGGTACTGCTTTCCTCAATATATCTTAGAGACCGATACAGGGCACAAAATTGAAACGTGCGGATGTCAGAAAAATTGTAAATATTGTGAATGTGAGGAGAATAGTGATAGACTTCAAGAGGTTAAAGATAAATTGAATGGGACTCCTAGCAAATAAAATCAAATGTAGAGAAGGTGAAAGTCTACTTTGGAGTAGGAAGGAGGTGCAGTGATATCAAATAAAGGTTACAGTTGTCAAGACGGTACAGGCACAGAGAGACATGGGGAGTATTTGCACTCAAAATAGTTGAAGGTGTCAGGATCAGATTGAGAAAATGATTACAATTTCATACAGAATTGTGAAGTTTTAAACCGGAGGTATTGAGTACAAGAGCAAGGAAAGTACATAGAATATCTATTGAAGCTCTGGTTCGGTCTCTAGTGATGTATCACGCCCAATTCTCGGTGCCATACTTTGGGAAGGATGTGAAGGTTTCAGATTAGATCACAAGGAATATTCACGAGAACGGTTCCAGGACTGAGAGATGTCAACTGTGTGAATAGATTGAGAAGCTGGAGCTGTTCTGCTAACAGAGAAAAGGTTTGAGAGGTGATTTGTTAGAGGATATGTAAGATTAGATGGGGAAAACGTTCTGCTCAGTGGAAAAGTCACTTTTATTTTGACACTGAAATAATTAAGGTGCTCCCAGCGTACCTCAGCTGCAACTAGGGCCCTCATGGCACAGTTGGTCAAGAAATGGTGGGCACAGAATACAGTGCCCTGTGACTTTCAGCTTACCATCTCATGAGGAATTTTGTTTTTTATGCACTGCGACTGGCTTGGCTCAAGAATGCACAGCTTGAGAGGGAGGTGAACAAATTTTATCCAAGACAGGTTTGAATGAGCATCTAAAGACAACAAACCTGCAGGGGTCTGAAGGAAGCATGTGGGGGCGGGGAGCTGGGCTCACGGAATTGCTCTCAGTGACAATCAGCAGAAATATGATGGCTGAATGGTCTCCTGTCATGCTCTCATCGTTCAATGCCCTAGCTCTATCAAAGCAGAGCTCCCTCCCACCATGTATCATCTCCATGAAGCAGATTGTTCTGATTTTTGCTTTTGAACTGTGATGAGTTTGTTTTCTTTTCCTGCTGTCCTGTGTTAAGACTTTGAGACCAATTTTACTGCTGTCTCAGAACAACTAAACAGTCAGTGCAATGGAACTAAGGTAATCTAATGGAATACTAGAGGGCTAGTACGTAGGAGGTTGGACCAATGATCAGTGTATTCAGATCCTATAATGATTGTTTGTGAATATGAATCTAGATTTATCTAATGGAAACTGTAAGCAGGCTGCCAGTTCATTTTGTCCACTTTGCACTGTACCCCACAGTGTCTTCTTATAAATAATCAAGCAACACTTCTTTTAAAAAAAACCTTAATGAGCTATAAACAAAACTTTGACATCCATATTCATTGACACAAGCTGCGCAAGAGATGCTTAGGGTGTTACCTTACATGGGATTAGTGCTGAATAAATTGTTTTAGCAAGAGTATGCCTGAATATATAGCCAACTCCTGTTCAGCTGGGGATTCACATAGCTGTTTATTTTGAAGAATTCACAGAGAAATCAAATAGCTCTCTTGGTGGTATGACTTGAATATATAATTCATCACAGACATGAGTCGCAAGTCTCAGTATAAACTAATTAAATATTAAATGCATAGTTTTTTTTGTTTTTTCTGCAGTGGTTTTGTTTTGAAGAGTAGCACTAACAACTAAAATCATCTGTGCACACAGCAAACTGAAAGATTAAACCATATTGTACTTGTTCACGATTTGGAATAGCATTCTGTAATTGTTTTTATTTCTTCATTTCTGCCATACTCATACAGAGAAACTAAGTCAAGCCCAGAACAATATATTTGTGGGAAAGTGGGTGAATATTATGTGAAAATATAAGAAATAATAAATATCAGCTATAGGGGACAGAATCCCACAGAAAAAAGTTGGTGGCTGAGAAAATAGAACACCACCTTTAGTAGAACAATACAGTGTCACCTATAGAGCCCTTGATTAGGAACTATCACTTATGAGCAGATGCAAATTTTGAGGATTTTTATGAACAGTGATTGAATCTGGGTTTGCATGTCGTAAATCTTGTGGTAAAATAACAACATGAAATGCTGGAAATACCAGACCAGACAGCTTTTGTGGAGAAACAGAGTCAATGGGCCGAATTTTAATTTTTAAATTTTGGGGTGGCACGTTGGCTCAGTGGTTAGCACTGCTGCCTCAGAATGCCAGGGACCTGGGTTCAATTCCACCCTCAGGTGACTGTCTGTGTGGAGTTTGCACATTCTCCCTGTGTCTGTGTGGGTTTCCTCCAGGTGCTCTGGTTTCCTCCCACAGTCCAAAGATGTGCAGGCTCAGTGGATTGGCCATGCTAAATTGCTCATAGTGTCCAGGGATGTGTAGATTAGGTGGTTTATAGGGGTATTGGTCTGGGTGGGATGCTCTGGGGGTCAGTGTGGGCTTGTTGGGTCAAAGGACCTGTTTCCACGCTGTAGGAGTTCTATGATTCTATGATCTGAAGAAACATACTGTGGAGCCAAGCAGGGAAAGTATCTGACACTCTGCACCCACTC